TCAGACTTATCTTCTGCCCCTTTAACTTCTTCATTGCTAGAATTATCTTTCTCATTGTCCCTTTCAGCACTACTCATTTTTGGATTATCATTTTTCCCCACCACTTTCAACATTATCCATTTCTACACACCACTTTTAGCAGTACCACTTTCAGTTATACCCTTAACTTGTGCATAGATATGAATATATCTATTTCCAGGTAAACTATGTAACATTTTCATTACATTACTGTCATTTGATAAAGGCATGATAGAAGATTCAATTAATTTTGCACTTGACACTAACCAAAATAATTCTAGATGACTAGGGACTAATATCTGCTCCATCATTTCATAAAAGTTAAGCAAAGAAATTGTGTCACAATCATAGAGGTCAAAATATGCAATTTTGTTACCAGTGAACTTCAGTCTAGGTGAATGTACAAAGGATCCCACCATAGTGACACACAATAGAAAACTTTTATCTTCAGGACCTGTAACAAGATTTTTGAATTTAATTAGTTGAAGTTAAATCTAAACCTATCACCCTTAAACCTTAAAATTTTGTTTATAAGTTATTGAAATGTTAAAGTGTTTAAATTTTAATATATAGAATTTGACTATACAAAATTTTAAGTAGTAGTATTTAAATTTTATGTTTAATTTATAAATAATATTAATAGGGTGTTTAAATTGAATATTCAACATAGTAAGGCCCACAACATTACAACTTTTAGAATATTTTTTCAAAAGATGGTCCACAACATTACAACATTCAACATGCAAACGTGTAGGGTCCATAATAGTATAACATTCAGAAAATTTCTAGATACAAGCATATCGCACATATACACATATAAACACTCATAAAGTCAGCATAGTTTATCAAATGCAGATGGTCCACAAGAACACAATAGTAATCATTATTTTTCAAACATGTAAGGCCCACAACATTACAACATTTAGAATATTTTATTAAATTAGATGGTCCACAACAATACAAAATTCAACATACAAATATGTCACTCTCATAAAGTCAACATATCACACATATACATGTATTAAGAAAAGAAAAACCACCAACATATCACAAGCCACCAACTTTCACAATATTTTATTAAAAAGAGATACATGAGTTAAGGTTCCTAATTCAAAAAATAATAGCCAATCAACAAAAAACATATTAAATTGAATATATATATATATATATATATATATATATATATAACAAGTCAATGTTCCTATTTTAACAGAAAGTATAGAAAGTGATATCATATCAACAGGAACCATAAATATGATATCATATAAATATAAAACATAAAAGTGATAATTTAAACAGAAAGCATAGAAAGTGATCCTATAAAGTATACATTTTAGAAAATGATATCATATAAACATTTTATCAACCTATTTGTCAAAACCTAACCAAATGTTGAATTGGTATATAGAATAACGTTATCAAGAAAATCAATAAAGTTGTAAACATATCACAAAAGAATCAACAACATGAATTCAAAGAAAACTAATCAATTTTCTATCAAATCATAGGTTTTGACTTTTTCTCTCAAACTCAAAATGAAGCTTATCGTAAAGCATAACGTTGTCCCCTTTGTCGTAGCCTCCATGTAAGTATCATCTTCACTTCAAACCCTTATTTTTCTCCTATTTTGTCAATGAGCACTTTCTCTTAAATTCAAGTATTGCTTGTTTTTCTTTAACCACTCATTTGTATGTTTTTCTATCTTTGTTTCCTCACAATTCCCCTTTTCCTCGCAATTTCCCTTTTTCTCTCAAACCCTCTCTGAAACTAATTCTTTCGTAGAGGAATGGAAGAAGAAATGGTTTAGAGTTTTGAAAAGGGTTAGATCTTTTTGTTTATTAAACCATTGATTCCTTCCTTAATTTATTTATTAATTAAATATTCATTAAATATTTGTTACAGCACCAGTGAAAGGAATTCCAACAGTTCTCGACTGTGGCGGTTAACGATCCAGGTAAGCAGATAACGGTCCAGTTGTGCTTTTCGTCATGCTTGTTAATACTATTAACGTCGAGGACCAATTTATAACAAACGATAACGTTAGTGACCGATTTTTGACTTTTGAAACATTAGTGGTGAAAACAAAAACTTACCCAAACATTAGTGACCATTTATGCAGTTTACCCAAGCATTTATTATTTTCTACTTTTTCCCATTGAGCTTTTCTATAGAATATATTTTTGAAATCATTTAACTTACCCAAATTTAAGACTTTTTGCAAACATTTTTTATTATTGACCCCTTCTTTAAGAAGGATTCACAATGATCTTGCAAAATCACCTTTGCAATTCTTGACTTTGCCTCGCTAAAAGAATGTCGGTAAAGATTTTATCATTGTGTAATGGATGGTAGTTTGGTCTCTTTCCCTTTGATTATATGCTTGTTTTCGGCCCCATAATTGGGGCCTTTAAATCAGTGATAATTCAAATATTTTTTTCACCAAACAACAAAAAAAGTGCACTGAAGTACAAAAATGACATTTCTTTAAATCATTTCCAAAAAAACCCAATAATTAAAAATTAGAATTGTATTTCAAAGAGTTTAAAAATATATATAAGGTGGGGTTGAATATAATTAAATTACTTTGGTAAAACTTAATCTAAAAGATAAAAATTCCAAATCAAATGTTGATTTGACACTCCCAAAGCACACCATTTTAATTGTTGAAAAATAGTGATTGAATAAATGAAAAGAAAGTGAAAAAGCAAGTTTAAACATGTTACAATATAAGACCCCTTCTTAATTATTATGTCTTCATTACTTTAATAGGTAGCGAATGGACTCTCATCAAAGTGCACTCGTCACATCTTCTATACTATATATATATATATATATGATGAATATTTGGATTCAGATTTGATGTTATTATTGGTTGTTTTAGTGGTTTAGTGGTTTAAGTAAACGAGAGGTCGATTCAGGATGGATAGAAGGAACAATTAGGATAGTGGTCTCTTAAAAATTTCAAACTATTATATATTTGGATTATAATCCACATACACGTGTAAAATTTTGTTATTTTATATAGATTTAAGATTGTTGGATAAGTAAAAATAAACGACTGAGATTAATTTCTTATTTTTTAGTGAATATTTTCTCATTTCTTATTGTTAATCTCAATTGTCTATGTCCACTCATCCAACAGTCCTAAATCTGTGTAAAATTAAAAAGTTTTATAATGTGTAGTTTGATCTTATCCCTATATATTTTAAATGTTTTCTTTTTTTTTCTATTGATAATTTGTTTTCATACCTTAGAATTTTATAAATTCATCCCTTTTAAAAATTTAGAACCTCTAACATAAAATCTTAAATTCTTTCTTTGAATTGAATTAATATGTGATTAATTTATAACACTAAATCAATAAGACATCTCTAAGATATAAAATATCATCGATAATCTACCTTTTATATGTGCCAATAAAATACTATGCGTAATTTATCTTTTATATATGTACCAATAAATAATTATATTTGGGAAAATGATTATTTAATAGTTAATATTATGATAGTTATTATTATAATTTAAAATTTTCCATTTCATTGAAGATTTTAAATTTAAGAAACAAAATTAATAAGATAATACATTTTTATTAAAAATTTCAAGAAACTGATTATTCCATTATTAATAACAAGAATAAACTCATTATTCCATTAAAAGAATAAATTCATTATGGTTTATGTCACTTTTATAATAATTTATTAGGTAAAATTGTATTGATAATGTGTTTAAAAAATAGTTATACACGATGTAAAGAAAATTATTTTTTTAATTAGGGACTTTATTATAGTAATTGTGGAAGACATCTAGACTTCTGAAAGACGCTTGGATCAGTCGATGATTTTGAGAAATCACATGGATTGCAAGATATCTTTTTGAAGTTTCATGCATGTACTATAATATAGATAGCTCCCAAGACGTCGGATAATCTAGATGACTTTTAAAAATAATCGTGTGTTCTAGACAACTTTTCACTTTTATTAAGTATTATAACAGATACCCTAGTTTAAAAAATAATTCTTCACATATTTTATATAACCAATTCTTCCCCAACATATTGTTCAAACAATTTATTAGCATATATATTACATATAATATATATATAGTAATATTTGTGGAAAATATTCTAAAGGATTGCGCCGGGAAATCAGGTTAAAGATTGAAGACCCACAAAACGAAATTCTCATGCACTCTGCTCTTCCCCTGACCTCAGATGCTGCCACGTTTATAATCCAATGGCTACCATTTTCCCATTCCATCAAAGGCTGTTCTTTTTGACATCCTTTCACACAATTACAGCTATTACTAACTAAACATCTGTAATGTCACTGGCACAAATTAAAAATAATAATGCATTAATATATCATCTTAGTCAATATTGAACACCTGGGTAAAGTATAAAAATAGTACCCGATTATAGAATATTATTTTATTGAGTTCTTCGATTATTAAAAATTAGAAAATGATCCTCTGATTATAGTGAGTTACTTTGTTTGGTCTCTCAACTATTAAGAATTACAAAATAATCACCTGACCATTCATTATATTCCAAATTTATCATTTTTTGTTAAAAAATTAACGGTCGTCTGAGCTTGACGTTAACATGTTGATTGAGACATGATAGTCGTTTGAGATTATGAGTTCATATTTTATTATATCTCAATTAGCAAGTTAATGTACAACTTAGTTTGTCGTTAATTTTTAATGAACAAGGATGAGTTTGGAATATAATGAATAGTTAGGTGACCATTTTGTAACTTTTAATAGTTGAGAGACTCAATAAAGTAACTCACTATAATCGAGAAATTATTTTATAATTTTTAATAATTGAGAAACTTAATAAAATAATATCACGTAATAATAATATTGTTAATTAGGGAAGTTTTATAATTAATGCAGAATATCCATTGCTTCATCTTCATTATTTTGATAGAAAAAGAAAAGATTTCTTCATTCTTTCAATTCATAACATCTTCAAGAAGACCCTTGTATCTTCTACTAATTCGGAGTTTACATGAAGAAATAAAGACATGAAGTCTTCTTCTTCGTCTTCTTCTTCTTCTTCATCATCTTATTATTATATTTTGCGAGAGAGATGTTTGAACAGAGGGAGTTCTCCATTTTTCATGTCTTTCCTTCTTGTAACCGTCATATTCGTACCCTTCATCTTTTATTCTATTAACCCTTTAAATCCCATCTCCAAACCTCCTCCTAATATTAGCTTCTCAGGTAAAATTAACCCAGAATTTGTCATCCACTTTTTTCAGTTTTCACCCTGTAGAATTCTGTATGATTCTGATTTTTTTTCATGTTTTCTCGTGATTTCATTAGGTTATACTGATGGGATTTTGAAGAACTGTGATTTGTTCAAGGGCCATTGGGTGCCGGACCTCCATGGTTCCCGATATACAAACTCGAGTTGCACCACAATTCCCGATTCGAAGAACTGCTTCCGCCATGGAAGGAGTGACACAGGTTTCCTGAATTGGAGATGGAAACCTGAAAAATGTGTTCTTCCAAGGTTTGATCCCAACAAATTCCTGGAATTTGTTAAAGGCAAGAAACTTGGATTCATTGGCGACTCTGTTGCTAGGAACCACATGGAATCTCTTCTTTGCCTCCTCTCAAAGGTTAGTTTATTTATTCTTTTATCAACTTCCAATTCTCACAATTTTCATCCATTATCATGCTGATAATTTCACTGGAACATGAATTGCTTAAATGTATGAAAACATAGTACCAAATACAAGTATACCTTGTATTGTTTTGGTATCTCCGTCCAATGGAATTTAATATCAAAATCTGAAGCCCACCTAGTTTCTGACAACTTTCCTATCTGAAATTGGACATTCAACCAGGTCTGGATGAACCCAGTTTTTAAATAAATTAGGAATTAAATATTCCCCAGAAATGTTATGGATTTGGCTGAGAGAGAGCAATAAAACTGGCAAACTTCACGGCCATCAAGAGAATGTTCAGTGCATTTGAATTTAAAGTAATGGAAGATGAAGCATCCTTGTTAAAAGGCTGGAAATGGTGTTGCTTTTTGAAAATCGAAGTAACTGATTCAGCAATTTTATTAATTAATAGTTTCGTAACTCTGTAAAAAGTGTTTTCCACATGCAGCTGATCAATTGCTTGGTTTGAGCACTTTTAGATTGTTTGCATGTAAAAAAAGAAAAAGGGGTTTTCATTAGTTTAATGACATTAATACTTATTTGCTCCCTGGATTAGTAAAGAACAGTCATTTTTACAGATTTCAAGAGTTCAAATTTACGAGATTAATTTAGCTGTCAATTTAACATGGGGTTTATGATCATTTTCGGTATTCGAGAGTATGGGGATTTGATCTTGTTCATTGGAAGGTTTCTTAAACTCGACTGCAAAACTTTTGCAGGTTGAAACTCCGAAAGATGAGTACAAAGATTCAGAAGACAGGAAACGGATTTGGTATTTTCCTAATCATGATTTCACTCTCATCATCCTTTGGACCAAGTTCCTTGTTCATGGTGAAGAAAGAATGATCAATGGTTCATCATCTGGCATTTTTGATTTATTCCTCGACAAAATTGATGAAGCATGGAGCAAAGATCTTCCTGTTCTCGACTATGTCATAATCTCTGATGCACATTGGTTCTTTCGACCAATTTATCTACATGATAGTACCGGTGTCGTCGGATGTGTATACTGCAATACCCCGAACGTGACGGATTATGGTGTTGGATTCGCCCTGAAGTTGGCACTTCGATCTGCATTGAATCATGTCAACAATTGCAAGATGTGCAAAACGAGGGTCACCTTAGTCCGGACATTTTCGCCGGCACATTTTGAGGATGGGGCATGGAACACAGGGGGAAGATGTAACAGGACAGTCCCTTTGAGTGAATCGGAGATAAACTCAAGCGGCCTTGAATGGGAACTGAGGAGCCTGCAAATGGGAGAGATTGAAAAGGCGAGGACGGAAGGCGGTAAGCTCGGAAAAAGGTTTGGGGTACTGGATGTGACGAAGGCGATGATGATGAGAGCGGATGGTCACCCTGGTGAGTTCTGGGGAAATAAATGGATGAAGGGTTATAATGACTGTGTTCATTGGTGCATGCCAGGTCCCATTGATGTGTGGAATGATTTTTTCATGGCAATACTGATAAGAGAAGCTTCATTTGTTTCTTAGTGAAAGGGCTTTTAGATACTTAGGGATCATCTACATGATATATTTTACATCTTAATAATTTGATCTCCAATTTTTTATTCTTGTCGATACAATAAATTATTATATAGTTTTCATTGTAATTTAATAGAGAATACCGTCTGCACCGCATGGGGTAATATTAAAAATGTTTACGGGAGTTTGATTCACGGAATGTAAAATTATATTTGAAAATAAGATTACTAAAATATAACACTGTTTTGGGAATATTGTATTACCTTATTTGGTTTGTTAGTAGGAATATAAGATTAGAGTTTTTGTTGGAGGAATATAAGATTACTTGGAAGCATATTTTACCAAATTATAAATATTAAATTATAAATATTTGAATGAATTTATAAAAGATTCTAATTGTCACATTATCTAAATTCTAAGAAAAAAATACATTTAATATATAATTAGTATAAGGGTAAACTATACAAATGGTCTCACGACTATAGGATACAGCTTTCTTGAGTCTCTCGGCTCTTAAAAGTTGCAAAATGATCTTATGACTATAGGGAATTGCTTTGTTCAGTCCCTCGGCTATTAAAAGTTACAAAATGGTCACCTAACTATTCGTTATATTTCAAACTCATTCTTTTCCATTAAAAATTTGGCGTTGGTCTGAGCTGAACATTAATCTGATGACTGAGATATGGTAAAATCTGATCTCATAATCTCAAACGACTATCATATCTCAATCAGCAGGTTAACATCCAACTCAAATTATCATTAATGTTTTAACAAAAAAGGACAAGCTTGGAACAGAATGAATAGTCAAGTGATCATTTTATAACTTTTCGAGTAACTCAACAAAGCAACTTCCTATAATCGATGGACCATTTTGTAACTTTTAATAGTCAAGAGATTCAACAAAGCAGTATCTTATAGTCGGGGGACCATTTGTGTACTTTACCCTTAATATAATTAGTATATCATATTTATATTTTTAAATAATTTTCACAAATATCATATTTATTTATATAAAATATAGTATAATATGAAAAATAATATTGTGTTCTCTAGTAGACAAATATATTATTTTCAATGTATAAGATTTATTTTTTAATAATTCAAAAATAGATATTGTTTTAAATAATTACATTTTTATGATAATAATATTTTCACATCATAAAATTATAAAATGATTAATATACCAAATATTAAAAATATAAAATAATTTTAACTACTCAAATTTATTAATATTTTACAAAATTAAACTCTTTGTATATTATTATTATTATTATTATTATTAAATTTATAATTTTGAGCAAATAGGAATAAAGATTGAGAAAGATCTATATGAGAAGAATTCATTATTTCAGGGTTATTTGTGTTTAAAGTGGTGAAAATTGTTCATTACCTAAGAATTTAGAAGTAATGACATTCTCACAATTTTAACAAAAAAAATACTACTATTGGTAATAAGTTATTACTTGGTAATGATCTTTTCCGCAAACCAAACGTGATATTATAATTTCAGAAAAGATTATTCCCCTTTGTAATGATTATTCCCGCCAACCAAATGCCTCTCTAAGGTTGAGATGAATATGAAGTAATTTGGATTTGTTCCAATTAGGCTCTTTGTAATAGAAAAACTAGATTCTCATGCTCAACTTCAATTGATATTCCAAACTACAAATTACTTAAAAAACTATGAATCAACTGAGACAGCTAAAAGGAAGAGAATGTTGCCAACTGTATTCTACCTCTTAATGAAAACAGAAGAAATATTCAAACATTTTGCAAACATGCCACGTTAGAAGAGTTTTTCCTCTGCTTCTCCATTGTGTTGAGAACAATAACAAGAAAGAAAGAAAATATGAAATTTTGTAATACTGACCAAAATATTGTATCATTATCAACTACGAACCCGAAACTTATTTCACTTGGCTCATCTAGTCATCCTTTCAAGGTCACCTTTAGTAGGTCTGGAATTTGAGTCCCAGAATGGCTTCGGTATCCCCAAGATATAGTCTCCTTAGTACAAGAAAGAAAAACCGAACCGGATATCTTGTTATAATCTCCAACAAGCTGAAACCCGGAAATGATAAGTGCAATAATGACAAAAAAAACTCTTGCAACTTGCGTGCAAACATGGTGTGGGGCAATAATCCAAGAAAAAGACAAGGCAAAACAAGCAAGGAACTTGGAAATGATGATCAAGAGCGTCCCGATCCAGGTGTGTCAAAAAACAGATTTTACAAAAACATTCAAGGGAAATGATGAAAGAACAACACTCAATTATTAGTTCCCTTCAAAACATGTAATGCAAAAAGATAAACAAATAATATCAAAATCTTGCAATGATAGACAGGTTAAGAGTAAATGTGAAAGACTTGATTCTCTGGCCTATGAACACTTTCAAGAAGGAAAGGAACCAAAATATCTAAGAATCAGACAATCTCTCTTTAGCAAATCATAGCACTCTGTTAGTCACTTCATGCTAGCTGCAGCTGTTGGGTGAGATGCGCATGCTTCAGGATCCCACAACGTGTATGTAGCCAACTAGACATACCATTCAACCATCACGATATGATTCGATAACAAAATCATGCAATAAATCTTGTAAGAGAAGATTTATCTCTGACTCGGGTTTACCTTCTTTACTTGGCCAAAGAAAAGTATCAATATGGACACTATAGCTGACAAAGAACATAGTGATGACATTGACTAATGAACCACTAACATGAATAATGAAATGGAAGTGATATAGACGTGGGCAATTTTCTAAAGGTTAAAATTCTAAACTAAGACACAAAAAGCAGTACATTAGATGCAATACTGTCAAATCCTGAATTCATAATGTTAAACATCAAAGCTGAAAACTCTTAAGCACCCAAAGCTAATTAAGATGATCTTTCGCTTTGTATAGAACCCAAAGACCAAAAAATCCAGGCAAAAGGATAGATGCCCATAAACAAAATCTCATATAAAGATCCTAGTACAAATAAATAACATACGCCAAGTAGAACACACAATTGTTTTAAAGATGGATTAAATACTTCGGCATTCACTTGCAGCACTAAAACCATCATTTTGTCACGATTTTCAAACGGTAGTAAGTAACACGATCAATTTCCATTTGCTTATTTGAGAAACTGAAACCTAGAAAACATAAAACTGCCAGCAATCGTAGCAACTAAAAGCTACCATTTAGACAGAACTTGGCAATCTGCCTTTATAGCTTCCTGAAATCCAAATTATAAGTTAGGTGGTGAAAATATGCAAATAACTAGATGTTTTCGGACATCTAAACCAAGATAGCACACCAATAAAAGCCATGAAACAAAAATAATTTCTTCAAATCCACTACATAATCTAGTCATATCATGATTAAACATATCTTCATCAATGCCAGAAGTGAGACTGAGAGACTCACATATAAGAGATTATGCAATAGTAACAACTAAAAACTCATTGCATTGATGGGATTCCTTACGATATTCACAATTCATCTAAACATATAGACATAGGACAACAATGTTTAGCCAATCCCTTCTTATCCTAATTCAATAGAGAATCTGAATATTTTATATCAACGAGATCAAAAATATCATAAGAAACGAAGTTGCAATTTAGAATCCAACATTCATAATCAAATGATAAATCTACATTAACTACATGTGAAAACACATTCTGAAATTGCAACCAAAAGAGAAGCAAGAACTAACGTTGTCATTAATGACCCTTCCAGATCTCACGCCTCTACTGTATTTTCAAGTCCAAATAAGAAATGTTCACGAACAGGTGGAAACTCCACCAATCCAATATCCATTGCATAACCAGAAACAGGCAACTTCAACTCTCTCAACACACAAAATGCCTCCGCCATTCTTGTTTTTTGGCACTTCTTGAGCTACAGAACAATAGAGAATCCAATCGTCAGCTTTGAACTCTTTTCCAATTTCAATCCCTTCCTTTTTAATAGCCTCACATAATTGAACCTGAAACTGTAGGAGGGCCATTGTTGGAGCTGGGGCAAGAAAAAGAACATTTTTCTCATTTGGGAAAGTCCCGATGGAAGAGAAAGATAGAGCTAAAGGTTCTTGCTTAGAAACAAAGGACTTTACAACAGATTCATGCCTCGCAGGGTCGAGAAAAGGGCTTGATAAAAGGGTAATGTGAGGCCTTGACTCAATTTCGATTAATTGAGTGCTGATTTGCCGACGAGCCAAAATATTCCAAGCTTTCACGACTTGGTTTTCAAGTGCTGGGTCAAAGTAAAGCTCAATCGAAAAGGTTTGTGACATTGAAGATTTGGGGGAATTAGAAGGATCCCAAATTTTGAATGAAGATCTAAGAGTACCCAGATGATGAAATTGGAACTTTAACAAGAATTGGAGGTAACCAGAAAAAGAAAAAGATTCTAACCCTTCAAGAAAACATGGAAATGAAAGATACCCAGGTTAGATTTGGTGTTCTAAGGCAAAAAGGAGAGATTTATATGGTTTTCCAAAAGAACAAGATAAAAAGAGAGTGTTATTTATTTATTTATTTGCAATTTGAGAGTGAATAATTAAAATATAGTAATTAGGTTTTGTAATGAAAGAAAATATTTTATGTAAAAAATATATAAATAAAAGTTAATTTAAAAAATAATTATGATTTAAATATTTTAATATTATTATATTACTTTAAAATTTTAAAATTTATTTTTGTAATATTTTACGTTTTTCTATTAATTTTTATTTAAAATTGAATAAATTATAAATTTAATAATTGAATTTTCTTGTTATTCTTATATTCTCATTGTATTTTAAAGTTTTCAATTTAATAGTTAAATTTTATACATTAAATTTTTTTTATCACTCCACCGTTATTTTTATAACAGTGTTATGATATGACTTAGTAAATTGATTTTTTTATTGTCAATCTCATTTTCAAATATTTGTCAAACGCAAAAAACACGTTAAAATTTTCACCTTGATCCTTAATTGATTCTTCCTTTCTCCACCACCAGGAGTCATCGTCTCTAGCGACTACAACCTCCACAACCCAACTGCAAGTTTCCTAGTAGACAGCGCCGAAGCTCCTTTCTATTGTCTCTGATCTCTAACTTCTTCATCCTCTTCTGTTGTCACAATCCAACTACATGCCCACTTATATAGTCATTGCTGTACTTTAATACTCTCACTGAGACTCTTCCGATCATATCATTATACCATCGCAATCCATTAAATATATAACATACAATGAAAACAACACGAACGTTGAAGTTTCGAAGTTTATCGGTACACATGCTCTATTATATTTCATGAACTGAACTTCATAAACATAAGCTTGTGTGTTTAAGAAACTTTAGGCATTAAGCATTTACCTTTATAATTAGCATTGATAATGATTTTTCTTCATTGTCAAGAATGATGTTTGTTTGTATCTTTTATTTTTCGGCTTTTTTTTTTTTTTTTTTGCATACTGCATCAATGTTAACACATAGCTATTCACAATCCAAGTTGGCAAATGTTGTTTTCAAACTACACCAAATTACATTATACATTTTTGGTACCCAAATCCATATGAGGTTGTTTATGCAATCTGTTTTGTATTAACAATGAGCCTCAGTATCCTCATACCAGAAATCCTTGTGTAGGACTATGGATTTCACAACGAGCCTGAGTACCTCCTAATGGTCATTTGATTTTATTTTGCATTCACAACCACATGATTTCTACACTTGTTCATTCTTATAGCTTTGAAGCAGGGGGGCCTTGTGTGAAGATGGTGAATCTATGATACTTTCATTCCCACATTCACCCATCTCTTCTTTCGCTTTCCCCCACATCACCGTGTAAAATCCGATCGATATTATTGTTGCTCCGATGAGACTGCAAATGTATAAAGGAAACCAATTATTAGAGTTTCTCTTTTTTCAAAAGAAAAAATCCATATAAAATTATGAAAAATACTTACCTTCCAAGATAGAGTGTATCACCTAGGAACATGACACCCATGGCAACAGCGATCGCAATAGACAATGGCTTAAACATCGCCACGAAAACAGGTCCTTTCAAGCGCAGAGCCCATGTATGGACCGTATTGTTCAAGCAAGAACCAAAGAGTCCCTATACAGATCATAGAGGCTAAACAATAAGATACAAAGTTGAAAGAGGTTTAAGACTGTTTAACCATGGCACAAAGTTTCTTACCGAGCAAACAACAGAGACTAATGCGATATCTGGCCTTAATCTCCAAGCACTTGAATCTCTCTCTGTAGCTAAACCAACAATTGCAGCTATGAAACTTACACATAAATTATAAAAGCAAACTACAGTCATCTCGTCCGGGTACTCCTTCATGATTTGTGTCTGCAGAAGGGCAAAGAATCAATTACATTTCGTCGTATGTCAACAAACTTTACCATTGGCATAATAGCTTATGATTTGTAATTGAACCGACCAACTCTTTATACCTGAACAATGTACCAAAGAGGTACTAGAATATACTCCGCGGTGAGGAAAAGGCCGCCGAGGATCCAATTAGGGTTCGATGAATTAAGGGGTTGTTGAAGAGACATTGAAGGTGCTGAAGAAATGACTATAGCTGGACCCTCGTAAAGAGTCACCACAAAGGCACCTAAAATTGATATTATGGTGCCAATGACTTTAGCTTGACTGCTTGTCCTTTTCCAAGCTAGCTTCTCCATTCTTTTTCAAGTCGCAATGGAAAAAAGAAAAAGAAAAAGAATCAAAATTAAAATTAAAATTAAAAAGAGAACAGCATTTTTAAATCAGAGAATACCAAAATAACATTTCGTCCTCCCCCCAACCAAGACATTGTTTGTAATACAATAAAAATAACTAAAACACCTAACAAAGAATAACACAAATATATAGTTTGATGGGCTTGTTAGCATTTAGCAACAAGATTACATGCGCAAATCAAGTGATTAGATGGTTATTATCGTTAGAGGTCCCGAGTTCGACTATGACGTATGTAGGAGTGCTTAAGGTTCATTGTCAAATGATTGAACTTAAGGCTGAAGTTTACCCAATTGATCAAATGGCTAAAGGAGTCAAATTCTGTTGGGGCCCAAAGTAGCTTAGATTCTTCAAAACTACCAAAGTGAACCTCAAGTAACATCCAAAAGTCTAATGAAAAACCTAATCCAATGGACAGAATTAACAGATCAAAATCTATCAGAAACCCTGACTAAAAGGGTATTCAACTGTCAGTCCAACTTTACCATAAAGCAAACAGGGGTGGAACCAATTGTTTCAGATGAACAATCCACTGAATTTTGTACACCAAAGGGTGCTTGAAAAAAACCTGAAAATGATTGCCAGGATGAAGGTGAAAGCTGGTGTGAGGTTACTAATTGCAGAAGCTAGAGTTGGAGAACTGTAATTGATGCCTGTATACCCCATGATCTGAGATGAACTCCTGGAATCCAGTTTCATAAACGTTAAAGATATGGAAACATAAGATTTTTCTGTGAAAATGAATCAAAATTTGGGAGGATAAATCTTCTAAAATGATAAAAAAAAAAGAAAAAAACCATAGTTCTTGTTTTAGAAATCATCTGAATTGCATGTGCAAGATGAAGTTACCCTATAAGTCCAAGGAGTCCAATCTTGCAAAGTATAGGGAAGGTCAGTGGAGGGAGCACTCTTGATCTGCTAAAGGGAAACATATCAGAAAATGAACAAATTTTTTAATACTGAAACATGAATACGGCCTGTAAGATGAGAAGGAACGACCTGTAAGAAAAGAAAGGAGCAGGAAGGAGAACAAGAGCAGCTATGGCGTAAGCATAGACAACAAAAACATGGTAACTCATGCCACTCAAAGTAGCCGCTTTGAAAAGTGTGTTTAAACCCACGTTTATACACTCCATTGTCAACATGGCTGAGAATGGCAGGACATCCCTGAAACAATACCTCCATCTCCACACCATCTTTCTTTTTCCCCTCAATTTTCTCTCGAAACAAACACTGGAAATCAACAGCCTCTCAAAGAAAGAGTGTTTTGCTGAAAATTGTTGTAAGGTAGTGTTATTTGTGAGGGGTGAGTAGACGAAAAACTTTTGATGGGAATTGATGATGGGTTACTTTACAAATACGTGATTTCCTATGTGGTATGATTATTGGCTATATATGGCCCCTTGGGTTTTCACTTTTTGACAAAAGCCAAGAAAGAGTGAAGATAAGGATAAATTGTTTTTTATACCATTAATATAAAATTAAGTGTATAAATTATATCTTAAAATATGATTCAGTATTTTAAAAAATTTGTTAAAAATAGGTGTATAATTTTTTTATTACGCTTTTAGGTATCTATTTTATTTTATTTTTATTTTTTTAATAATAAAATTATTATTTTTTAAAAAAATAAAAAAAATCAAATACCATGCGTTGTCTTTCTCCCTCCCATCCCCCCACTCCGATAGAGAAAGGTCATCACCGGTTGGACTTTATTTGGAGCAAGACGAGAAATTCAACGGTGGTAATCATATAACATACGAACGACTGTAGCCGTCCAAATCGTCATAAAACGACAACGAAAACTTAGAAATCTAACGACCCTTCGTTGCGTTTTTCACGATGATAGGTGCAGTTTCACGATGGTTGGGAAACTGGGTTTTGGTCACGACAATGAGATGGTTCTAATAGTGTCATCGGTGACGGCCATAGATCAACGGTAGTCGATCGACGTAAGATGTAAAATTTTAGGGGATTTTGGTTTTTTTAATTATAATATTAAGTTTTTTAAAAATAAAATAATTTTGAAAATTTTATATGCGCGACACATATCAAATAACGATCAAATTTAATAGTCATTACAATAACGATCAAATTTAACAGTCATTACATTACAGATACCTAAAAGTGTAATATTAAAAACATTAGATATTTATATTTAGCAAAAAAATCTTTAGGTATTGAATTGTATTTTGAGGTATAATTTAATCACTTTTATTAAGTTTTTTTATATCAATAAAATTGCAGTTAAGCTCTTATGGAGATATATAATTTAGGTTCAACATATGAATACAAAATAAAGAATCACAAATCTTGAATATGTTATTTAAACAGAAATGGTAGATAAAAAAATGAAAAATAGGCTAAATTGTTGTAGGAAGGTGCAATTTATGATGTCATATGGTGTACTGTCTTTTTGGTTTTATAAAGCTATATAAAGTACATGGTGGATTTTGGAGAATAATTTGATTTTAATTACATTCAATAATAAAATTTTTAGTACGAATCGATTTTAGTGATCAATGAATTTGTTATTATTCTTTAAAGTCTCGAGTTTGAATACGGTATATGTATGAGTGTAAGCTTTTATTATTAAAGAATTAAAAAATTTTGAACATATATTATTTTGTATTTATTCTAGATTTATAAAAAAAATAATAATAAATATTCAAAATAAATTTAACATAATTTTAAATAATATTAATATTATTTTTTTTTAAAAAAAGTAATATTATAATTCAAATTTCCTAAATATGCTATTAAAATTATGAAAGTATATATTTTTGACGAAAGAAATTAATATTCGAGTTTAAAAAGTAATTATGGTTCATAGTCTTCAATTAATAACTTTTTTTCATTATCTATTATAAGTAAAACTTATCTCTTTTTCTCTAAATAAAATTTGTGAAAAAAATAAACAACGAAGTTACTTATAGTTAAAGTTGTAAACGAGTCGAGTTGAGCTAGAGCATTATTCAACTCGACCTGAAAACTCTAAAATAGAGCTCGACTCAGCTCAAAAGCTCATGCGCCTAAAATTTTCAGGCTCGACTCGAACGCGAAATCATTAGTTGAATCTCATAAAAATTTGAAAAAACTCAAAAAAAACTATTAAACTTAACTCGACTGAAGCTCAAACTTGAACATGAATCTTAAGTACATGAAAAATATTATATGTTATTTTTAAAAAAAAAATAACATATAAACGTTAATATTATTGATAATATAATTTTTTTTAAAAAAAAATTTCAAATCGAAAATCAAATAACTCTTTTCAATTTATTAAAAACTCAAATTAAATATTTATTAAATTTTGACTAAATTAATCTCGAATAAATCACAATTTATATCTTCTTATTTACATTTACAAAATACAGGTTTATAGTGTGAAAAGTATCTTTCCTTGCATCAAATAATCTAAGCGGTTATTGTTTTTTTATCATTTGATGTGACCAATAATAAATATTTATATATTTATGTCACAAGAATGTCCAATTATTATGACCTTATTATTTACAATTTATTATTGCACCTCCCACTCAAATCTCTAATTTAAATATCACAAGATAGAGTGTGATTTTGTTCTATCAAATATAATAATACCTTAATACGTGAATGACTCAATTTACTTTTATGTATTTTTTTATAACATTAGGGTGGGTGTGTGTTTGGTTAGGGGAATGTGAGATTCTCATGGGAATGAAATTCACATTCCCCCGTTTGGTTAGCCGTGAATGTCATTCTCGGTAATCTTACATTACCAATAGTGAATTTTTTTGGGTATATTACATGGAATGTTATTATCTTCATTTCCTTAGGTATTGTTGGATTATCGGCGTGTTGGACTAAAATGCCCTTAATTTTTTTTTTCTTTCAAAAATATTCTTATTGTGTCATTGAATAATAAAAATTCTACGAAGGTTAAATTACAAATTTATCCTTAAACTATTTTAGATTTACAAAAAAAAATCAATAATTAAAATTTTATATGAAGTTCAGGGGTTAAAATAAAAGTTTACCCTTTCATTAAACCTTTTTATATTTTCAATTTTGTAAAAAAAATTATATAAATTTTATGAATTTAAATTTTTTAAAGAAAATATATAAATATTTTTCAACTTGTTAAAAAAACAAATATATAATAAGGACAATTTGGTCAAATATACATTCTAATAATCTTTTATTCATTTAATGAAACACGATAATCTTACATTCCTGCTAAACCAACCAAACACAAAATACAACATTCTCAGTAATCCTATTCCCTGATAATCTTTTATTCGCACTGGTAATCTTACATTCCGTGAACCAAACGTACCCTTATAGTTTAGATGATGGAGTTGGTTAGGTTTGAATTTGTTAAGAGAAGGTGAATTTAACAGAAAACCAAAAATAACAATTCTGATCAATTGTTAGACTTTGATTTTTGAAAAATAATCTTAATCAACACGGTTAATTCAAATGATAATTAATTTGATATTGTTTAAATGAGATATTGAGTTCGAATCATTGTGTATATAAAAAATTCTTGTTAGAAGATTGGGCGTTTGATGCAGGTCAATCTTAAATTAAATTAAGCGAGACGATTTGGAACCGGAAAAGAAAAAAAAAAATCTATAACATGACAATGCGTGAGAAAGTTACGAGTGAAAAGTTAGTTATACGATTACTATTATTTCCTTTTTTTTTGAATGGTTATATAGACCTACATTACGGAATTAGAATATCAGTTTAAGAAGAATAAAGTATAATTAATAAAAAATTAAAATCAAAATAAATTAAATTAAATTTTGAAGATTTAAGTAGATATTTATCCTATATATTTCTTAATTATAAAAAATTTGAGAGGTGTATTGGGACGTTTTTCCCGAAATATCACCGATGATTGGTATATTTATCGATCTAACATCGGTCAGAATATATTTCTCGATCTAACACCCGTAGCAGTAAAGCGCGCCCCCTAACCCGCGCTATACGCTGATTTGGCGTCACGTGGGGTATAGCGCACCTCCTGCACCGCGCTATACGCTGACTGGGTTACACTTGACTATAGCGCGCCCCCTGCTCCGCGCTATACCTATTTATCTGACACGTGGGGTATAGAGCGGTGCAGGGGGCGCGCTATAGCTTTAATTACCCGGCCTTTCACACCCCACCCTTCCCTATAAATACCTCATTCTCTATCACTTTCATCACACCAAATTCTCTAAAATACTCTCTCGTTTAAGGTATATTTTATAATATTATGTATTTAATTTATTTAAGTATTTTACTTTATTTAATATTTTACTAATATAAGTTTTTTGCAGATATATAATGGAAGGTGATCTACTTCGCTTAAATGGAAATCATATACCTCGACATTTTGCTGATACGGTAACATTTTAACGTTTTAATTTAATTTAAATTTTTAGTAATAATTTGTTGATTTATTTAATGCATGATTATTAGATTAAGAATTAATTTTTGTAATTATTTATTTTTAGGAGAATGATCGTATATTAGATCCTTTTATTAGGAATCTTAAGTTAGTGATACCTAGCCGTGTCTTGCCGTATTTAGTAGAGGCTGGATTTGGTTACATAGGTACATATCAGGGTCATTGTAAGATAGAACCAGACCTTATTTCTGCCTTAGTAGAGCGGTGGAGGCCAGAGACCCACACATTCCATCTTCCGTGCGGAGAGTTCACGATCACGCTTGAGGATGTTTCTATGCACCTTGGGCTTCCGGTGGATGGAGATGTGATATCAGGGATAGCTTTCGGTTCTTGGACTACTTTGTGCCGGGAAAATCTAGGAAGTGTCCCGGAAAGTTTATCGGAGGTAGGATACCGTTAAATTGGTTAGATGCCAATTTTCGGAAGTTGAGCACAGACGCCTATGAGGATGATGTTAAGATGTATGCACGGGCATGTATATTGCAGTTGATAGGAGGGTTGCTGATGCCGGACAAATCGCGCAACCTAGTTCACTGCATGTGGTTGCGACATCTTAGCGACTTTCGTCTCGCCAGATCATTCAGTTGGGGCTCGACAGTTTTGACTTTGCTGTACATGGAGATGTGTGGAGCCATTGACTATAGGCGTAATGCTATTGGCGGATGTCTCCTACTGCTGCAGTCTTGGGCATGATATCGATTGCCCTTTTTAATTCCCATTGTGAAGAACACATTCGTATTTCCACTACTTCTGAGGTAATTATAAAACTGATTTTGTATATTAATAATTTTATACAAAGTATAATAATTTTTTTTCCTTGAGTAGGTGGTCTGCTGATAGAAAAAATCATCAGGAACTACCTGATGGTTTAGAAAAAA